AGAGCTGCGTTTGCGACGAAGGCGCGGGCCCGCTGGTGATATGCAGACGGGGTTCTGTCCGGGGAGCTGAGACGTTGCAGCCGAAATCATATGCTACAAGCTTGAGGAAGGCTGTTAACAAGCTCTGGCGGTACTCGCCTGGCATCGACGAGCCGGTCGAGGTGCGGAAGATGCGAGGTCGTTCCGGGGTCTTTGGGTTGTCCCGCTCAGTCCTGTCGCCGTCGGCGGTGACATCCTTGGCCTCTTGCGCCTCCTCGGTATGCACATAGAGGTTCGTGGGGTCATCCCAATACGTAGTGAAGGCCTCTAGGCACCTAAAGAACTCGTATGAGTTGCCTAGGCGTGCCTGCTGCTGCCCCTTGGGCGCGGGGATGCGCCTCACGGTACGGAACGCATCCTCATTTGAGTGAGATAGCTCACGCTGACGGTCGAGAAAGGTCTGGCAGCCGGGCGACTGAACGCCATTGTTCAGAACCACTCGGGTTTCCGCGTTCTTCTCACGTGCCTCTTCAGGGGAGAGCTTGCCCCAGCCTTCAAAGTCGGGCAGGTAAGCGGAATCGGGAATGAGATCCGCTGTGGGAGCATCCGGGATGAGGTGTACCCCCAAAGCGTCGAATATGGCGGTGTTGATGTCTCCGGGGCGATAAATGTCCTGCAGGACCGATGTCAATGGCTTCTTCTGGCTCGCCGGCGTCGTCGACGGAGCATCCAGCTGAGGCCGGCTCTGTGGCAGAGTGACTGGCGTTGGAGGTGGGATATCTTTCGGGTCGATCTTGACTGCGGTGGGCAGATTTGCTAGCAAGCTATTGTTAGGATGACATACTTGATGAACACTCGAGAGTATCCGAGTGCCGCAATAGCCCTAGCAGTCCCAAGATGTGTGAGAGGCTCCCGTTTAAACCATTGGCTGAACACTGAGAAATGAAAGTTGCCGGGTGAGACGAAATTCGGGCGACAGAAAGCGGACGCCGGCCGAGACCAGGCGACCCCGCGAACGGACCGCCAAGGAAGCGGTGCCAAAGAATGGAGGTAGATCAAGCGCGGAAGGGATGGGCTCCCGTTGCAGGATCACGACAGATAACGGCATTGACGGCTTCTGTGTTTTAAGGTTGGAGTAGGATAAGCCGTGAAGGCATTGATGGAGGGTACGGTAGGATAATGTTACTTGTGAAGAAGAGGATGATGCAGAGGCAAGACGCTGCAGAGGGAACGATGAAGTAGAATGGGGGTGAGGGAGAAACGGATGACAACTTGCGCTCAGCAACGAATAGGGGCGCCATCGCACAATAGACGTCTGGGAAAGGCGCCAAAAGGGTCACAAAGCATTGTCATTTTCGTCTTATTCAGAAAAAGGTAGATGAGATAATGACCGACACTGGCTGCACTCAATGAAATTGTAAACTCACCCAGGGCGGGATATGTGCCAAACATATTGGCGTAAAAGATCAAAGCTAAAATTTCCGATAGTGGTTTTTCGAGATGGCACGACTTTTTTGCTATGATTTCCCAGCAGATAGAACGTGTGATGTGAGATGAGGCGACTGGAGGGTAGGTAGGGGAAACAGGACGGGGAAGTGTGGTGGTCCGGCCGGCGATAGCACTAGGTAAAAGCGGTGGGGTCTTTTTGAGTAGGTAATAAGGTAAGGTACGGGTATACGCGACGTCGAGCGGGGTCGAAGCCTTGGTTTACTTCGTTGGAGATACCGTTGCACAATGCAGAGCGATGTATTCAGTGCCTGTTGACAAGGTTTTGATATTTTACTGATTTGACGCCGATCAACCCTTCAGGAGCGCTGTCCAGTCGGCAAAGTCAAAAGATGGCGGGTGCTGCATACGGTAAAGAGGAAACATGTACACATTCGACCCAGGTAGCTGGGAGGAAAAAGAAGAAGATAGTGGGACTTGGATGGTGTAGAATGTAGGAGGCCGGATGGTGAGGGGAAAGGGGACACACAAACACCCACATACGGACGAGAAAGGGAAGGAGAGGAATCCAGAGCTCAGGAGAGCGCGCAGGGCACGCAGAGGAAGCAACAAGAAACGCAGTTGGTAGAGCATTCACACAGGCCCCCGTTACCTGCCTGGTCAGTCTTAAGTCAATGGGGCACCTCAAGCACGAGACCCCTGGCGACGGAACTGTACTGTGAGAGCACCGCCAGACAGATCCGCATTGAATGGGAAACACACTCCAACAACGGACAACTTTGCATTCAATGGTCCGCCAAGCTCTCGCTTCAAACGGCGTCTGCCCAGATGCTGGATACCTCCTCTTTCTTTCGCCCACCGCACTTTGCCTTTAGCGGCAAATTCGTACCATTTGCTGGAGCCTGCTTCTTGCTTGTTGGAACCACAACGGAGAACACACGACCCCACAACCCACAACGTATAAGTGCAACCAAATGCAGTGTTTCTGCAGGACTGCAGCTCTGCGGGCTCCATCTCCTGGGGTCTGCGCCTTATCCCATAGGTCAATTGGCGCATTTCGTCTGTGTTGGTTTGGTCTTGTTCTTCGACCCTGGGACCTAATTACTACGTATACAGATCAACCAAAGGCTGTGATTTGATGTCGTGCGAGGCGATTGGAAGGCAACAATGGCGCGAGAGGGGATTGTGATTGAGGGGCCCTGTCTAAGGGCCTTCTTCTTCGGGTTTGAGCTCCATTGAGAAGTTAGGAATGCAGATGCACAAGAGCCGAGTGTGGGAGATAGCCTTCAAGTTCCAACAGCGCCGGGCAACCCAAAGCTGAGGCCACAGTCATTCTCTCCATCTTGGCCGGTTGGGCCCGATTCTTTTCATGGCGGCATTCCGGTCCATGTTTCCGCGAGGAGCTCATCGACAACGGTGGGGAGGCAGTGGGCGGCGGGGGGCTGCCATTACCGAAATCCTGCTTAGTCACCAGCGGAATCGGAGAAACATGGCGGGACAACCTAGTGCGTGGGGCCCCCACCGACGGGACGGTATTCAACGCTCCGGGACCTGGAGCCCGGCCGCTCCGCCGCATGGTGGACCCGGCTTGATGCCATTATCCGAACAAGGACAAGACAGATCCCGACGTCATGCATTCCGCTACACGCTAGCCGCCTTATCAATTTGTTTTGTCTTGGCGTGAGGGCATGCCGTACGTATGCTGTGTAGATGCCATGAACATTTGTAGAAGTCCGGGCATGGAGTGAAAGTGTACCTACCGTTCCTCTGTTATGCATACTGAACAGAGAACGACGTCTGCCTCTTCCCTTCCTGTAAGGGTGTTGCCGGGCGGCCACTTTTGCGCGGACTTCGTTAGACTGTGGCCGTAAAGGGAGGATGGTGGTGTAGCCTCAACCAGATCATCATCCATCAGTCGGGAACATCTCAGTCAACATAGGCTACAAAATGCCCCGAAGCTGTGGTGTCTTCCTGTCCCGACCGTCCGGTGCGGGCTCCCGTGTTTCGGGGGCTGCTCTAGCGTGCAGAGCGGAGCGCCGCGACGTGAGACACCATCAACCCCAAGACAGAACTCGCGCCGAGAAGCCCTTTTCCCCTCTGTCCTCCCCTCCTCCTCCCACTCCCCCCGCCTTTCTTATGCTAAATGCACCTTCAGGCTTCTTTCATTCATTTGGTTTCAAAGATTTCCCGCGCGCCCAGGGACACACACTGGACCTGCGATCTGGGCAAACCCAGTGAAGGGGGGAAGGGGGGGGGGGGGGGCATATGGATAGATGGGGACCATCAATTCAACACCTCATGCTATTGCTCCTTTATTCTTTCTATCTGGGTCCCTTCATTATGCCTAAACGGCTCATTGGGTTGGAAGTTAATACCCAACATTAAGCTTACTCTCGAGCCATTTACCTGCACATCATATCAGTGACACTAGCAACCTACTGCGATCTCCGGCCAATGTCCCAACAATACCATGAGAACCTGGGCAATGGAGATAATGGGGTTTAAAGGTTCAGCGAGACTCACACACGAACACGAGAGCACTGCCACCGTCACTGTCAATGTCTGCATACGTACGCATACTTCGTTTCGGCCTACTGCAGCCAAGGGGGTGTGGGAGGAAGCAGAAAAACCAGTGCAAATCTGCACAGCCCCTTTCTCCCTTCCCCTCCAAAGCCCGAGACTGGTGAACCCGTCCTCGAGGATTGATTGACTTTTCACGTTGTCACTCGTTCGTTCGTCCTGTCTTTTCCCCGTATAGTTAGTTGAACTAGCACAGGGACTTCTTGACTGCTGCTGTCGGCCAGCCCGTCATGTAAGAAATCCATCTGACCTTTTTCTACGACAGTAGTGTCGAACATATGTCGAACTAGTCCCACCATCCGTGGGAACCAATCGCTTTCAAGACACCACGAAGTAAGCAGTTCTCGTGAGAATCCGACGACGTGTCTATCTCTGTCCAAGACGTCGCCCCGAGTCTCTGGTGTCCGGGCCCTTGAGATATGGAGTCGCAACTTCCAACCTTCGCTACAGACGACACACCTGCAATGTGAACTACTGACGGGGTTTTGACGTCGCCCCTGCAAGAAAATGTTTGTGGTCGTCGAGTTTCACTCCTTTCTCGGTTTTATGGTTGTTCATCATTTGTTTGATGATCCGGGGATCTAGCACAGGAGGCAAAACACAACAAACACGTTATGGATTGCACTGCAAAAAAGCGCCTCCAATATTGGGTAATGGTTACGGAGTAATGTCTCGTCATATGGGGTGTTAGGGTAGGGGGGCCAGCACGGAGGGTGAGGAAGCTCGGCCTGTGTTTGAGCCGGCCGGGGTCGTCTTCTCTCTCTTGGAGTCAGCCCATAAGTCTTGATCTTCTCTTTAAGCTTGGTGCCACTCTATTAAGCCCTATGCCCTGTTCCTCCTCCGCTGATACGCATCATCGGAAGTGAAGATCACCCTCCTCATTAACTTTACAAAGTTTGCATTGACCATGTCAGGAGGATTGACAGCCCGAACATGATCGACCACTTTTATGGATTCAAGATCTTGGGATAACTGTCAAACGTAAAAAGAATTCCTCACAGAACGGGCGCAACACACCCAAGAATCTGAGCCTTGCGACGTCGAGTGGCAAAATCGGCACTATATACTCGGTGTGCGCGAAAGCGGCCGTGAGGTATTTGGGCTGTGCTGTGCAGCCTGTGCTGGTGAGCACGTTTGGAAAAGGTTGTGCACATTCTCTCATGTCGATATCCGAGACGTCGCCAACTCGACGACACCTTGTACATGGCAGTACATAGAGGGAACAACTTTATCCGTTTCCCGGCTGCTGCTTGGAAAGTTGGGGCAAAACGGCGCGCAAAATATCTGTACACTACACAGTAACACGGGTCACAGTCAGACACTTTGCCATGTTTTCCCAGGGGATACCCGTGTCAATTCAATGATCGACCGACTAGCCCCTGGGGTGTTTGACGTCTCGGTCGCTAGTGACTACCCCCGTGCAGCATGCCTCCCCAGTGGGCAGGCCGTAGCCGGGTGCAATTGCGGGCAAGACGGGCCAAGACCATGAAAAGAGTGAAAAGAGTCTCTTGGAAACGGCTTGCGGGGTGGTCTTCGCTTTCGTAGACCAGTCTGGGAAGAGCCTGCGGGGCTGCCATCTCAAGCGTCCACTTTGGGTGGTTATGCCACGAGGTCATGGGGACCAGGGGGCTTGCTTGCAACATGTGGACATGACAGACTTAATTCACCTGTGACCATAGACCTTGAGAAGCCAGTCAAGACTGAGCAATGGTGCGGTCTTGGCGGACATGATGATGAGGAGTAGAAATTGTAGATGGCAAAGGGTCCTGAGTCTGAGAGGGTTCAGTCGTGCTCTGATAGTCCAAGTGCACAAAAGACCGAGCAGAGAGTCCCTTCAGACCTCTGTCTGCCTGTGACATCCATGCTCGCAATATGAGGTGAATCGATCAAAGTCGGGGTTTGGCCGAAGGAGGGACGGAATTTGGAGTTTGGTTGAAAGGGCCTTTGCAAGAGACGGCCAACCACGACATGAGGATGGGAGTGGTAGAGGTGTGGTAATATGTCCGCAGTTCGGTCGAAGCGTATCTAGACGACGACGACGACGACAATGATTACGACTCCGCTTCTCTTGAAGCGACTCAATGAGGCGATGCGTCGTGCATGGTGTTTCTTGTTTCCTGCGGGCTGGTGGGCACAGGAGCGTTGGATGGTGTCTCATGCAGCCGAAAAGGGAGCGAGTTGCAACTGGGAGCCTGGGAACCAGTGAGAAGGAGCAGGAGTCGCGAATGCCACGGCAGGCCTTCTCCGGATGTGCACAACAGGCGAGAAGGGCGGGCCACTGCCCTGGGCCAGGCCAGCGGTGAGTGCGGGCCGCATATTTGTTTGAGAGATCATGGTCGAGAGGGCGTACGGAGTAGGGTAGACTGGATTCTATTTACAGACGGCTTTTTGACGCTGACGAGGGGGCAACTTTCGGAGAATGAGGAATGAGGGGCCAACCGCGCAGTGGGCGAGGGGGAAAGCCAAGAATGTTCCGAAGCAGCGTTGTGCGGCGTGCCGGGGTAGAGAAGTTTCGCGATGACTTCTTGGTGGTATCCGCAGGCAGGAGAAATAAACTCGAGATAGATTAATTAAATGGAGGGGTTTGAAGACGCACGCACCTGATCTGGTTTGACTTGCCCGTTGCTGTTGCCCACCCATGATTCATCTACACGTGTATTCGTTTACGTATGTGGGTTCTTGGTGTACCTAGGCATCCGTACGCAGTAACGGGTACTTTGGATACGCAGGTACGTCAGATATAGCCCAAGTATCTCGAGTTTATTGCGCATATATTGCGTGTATGTCTGGTGGTGATGTTCTGCCGCTTCTGGTGCATGATGCCAGATAGACGAGCATGGACGTTGAAGAGCTCGGTGTTGCTGGAGACGGAGAAGTATCGTTCCGACTCTTGTTCGAAATGCAACAGTCCATAAACAAAAAAGGGAGGTTCGTCGGGTTACACCCGAACAATGGCGAGAAGGACTCGCTGGCATTCGAAGTGTGCAGCAGATGGATCATGGAATTCGACAGAGCATGGAAAGTGCCAATGCCACCCCGGCAAGACGTGGAGTGTTCCCTTTCCCAGTCGGGTGCGCTGCGACTGCAACGGGAAGGCCCCATACACCACAGGGCATCTGCCACCAAGATGTCTTGCAGTTGCGGCGTTTCCAAGGCAGGCGCGCAGTTGGCCGGTTCGGCGCCACAGACGAGACTTATGCAGGGGTAACGGCCGGTACGTAGATAGGTACGTACTGACAATAGGTACTTACCTAGGTAGTGACCACCCCGTACCATCATCAACCAAGGTGAGAACTACCGGTAAGCTTGTCATTTGTAGCGCAAGTCGACAAATGGTTCTGGCATGTCTGGCATGAGATTTCAAGTGAAGCAAGGAAAACGAGGTGTGGAGGGGCCGCCAACCAACGTATTTAGCGTTAGACTGTCACAGGCAAGCCGCAGACCGCAGACCGCAAAGGAACGGTGGACGGTGAACCCAACCACCAGTCCAATGAAGAATGTAGAGTCGAGAGCTTATTGTCCATACATTTTCCATACTATCTTCTACTTACTCTCTACACACAGGAACACCGCAAAAGAGAATACCTTTCCTGAATCCCTGGTGCTCTGGCACTCTCTACACAGTAAAGTCGTTGGACAGGAACTTGGAGGTCGGTAGTGATTACTAGTGTGCTGCGTCGTGAGGCTGGGGACCCCTGGTCTGGAACGTGCCTGGGGTTGCTTGGAGGCGGGTTCTCGTGCTTCAGGTGTGTTACAGACAGGGGGGTCGCCGTTTTTGGACTGGACACTCCATCTCTTCCTCTTCCTCCTCCTCCTCCCTCTTTCCCAGTCCCATTCCTGTCGCTGCTTCACCCTTCACAGCCGTTATTGGACAACGTTCACGTATCTGTTTCTCTCTGTCTCTCTGTCTCTCAAGGTCAGACCCCATCCCTGCAGCATCGGTTCCCATCTTGATGCGCCTACGCTTCCACTCTTATCATGATTCGTCCATCAATACCCGGGTCCCAGCGCTGCAGCAACTACGTCCTGTCACTCTCTTCCCAAAGGAACCTTCTCAGACACGGCCACCAATGCCCGTTGGATCAATCCCGCGATGCGCCCGAGAAAGAGACGTGTGTGTGAGACTGTGAGAGGAGAGATCCATCAAACATTGATCAATCCTTCCATGCTGCGACAGACACCATCAATGCCCGTGCTTTGCTGCTGCTGCCGCTGCCGCTGCCGTCGCCGCCGCTTCCCTTCCTGTTATGAGAAAGAAAGAGAGTCCGTTCCACGAGTCGGTTCAAGTCGAGTCAAATAACCAACTTGAGGGAGGCTGCGTCTGGAATCGTACTAGTGTACGGATGGATACCAAAGGCCAAGGCCAAGGACGCAAAGCCATCTTTCAAGTTCCTGATCTTGCGAGCTTGCGGCATGCTTTGCATTTGCAGCTGGAGCGGCTGCAGACTTGCATGCCCGTCCTCGGCGCCCTGTCATGGGTTTAGTACCTTACTTGGGTTTGGTGACTTTGGTTTGGCCTGGTCTGGAGTCTGTTCTGGTCTAGTTCTGCCTCTGGTCCAGTCATGGTCTAGGGTCTGTCACTTTGGTCGTCCTCGATTAGAGTAAGGAGACGTACCCGAAGTAACGCTGTCGCTCGGCGCCTACCGCTCTTTTTCTTCCTCCTCCTTCTCCTTCTCCTCTCTGTATGGAGTTTTTCATTGTGAAGTACTCCGTACGGATAGCCTGTACGGTCCACGGATAACCCTACTCCCTCAAGACTCAACGGTGCTCACCTCCCCCGGTTGATGGGATACACTTCGGTCCTCAATACCACAGTACACACGCCTGTGGTCCATGCTATATCATGTAACACGCAAGTGCCTGCTTGCATGTTGCAAACCGGTGCCCGTCTCTGTTTGTGAGAGGTCCAGAAAGAGGTGTGTGTGGTCCCTGTCCCGCACGATCGGAGAGACATCCCGCGAGCCTCAGTCAAGACTCAGACCCTGCCGTACCAGTCCAAACCGGTCCATACCAAACCACTCCCGACCAGGCCCTGGCTGGTCCTCTCTTAGTCTTCCCTACCATACCTAACCATAACCTTGCCCGACCATACCTTACCCTGCCATACCCTCCTTTAGTCTCTTACACTCCCTTTACCCCGATCACCCTCCTCGTCTTCTTCCTTACCACCACCACCTTCGATTCTCTTCGTGACACCCTTCTCACGCCTTTTTCGACTTTTCATCTTCTTCGTCTCCCAACTAGCTTGGTGATTGCTTCTTTTCTATTCTCAGCGCCTTCTTTATTCGCTTCGATACCGAGAACGACTACTTCGACGACATTGACGACTTGGATCTTCGACGACACAGTCTCACCCTTGAGATTGTCTGCGCGCAGTGTTCCTTGCTTACACGTGTATTCGTCCACGGAAGAACTCACTTTCTCACGGCTCTCACGCCGTTTATGCTTCAGAAGGAACCGGTTCCTAATGAGCTTTTGCGAATCGACCTAGATGGCCGGCTAGGCTTCTCCTAGTATCAGTCTATTTTCTTCAAACCCGACTCGGGGTCCTTGTTCGGTTCTCGAAACCATTCAGTTTTTTGCGACTGGAATCGCAACATATTGCAGCAATGTCGAGTCCAAATCGGAACGCGAACCTCCCGGATGGGGCTTTCATCACGACTTTCAATGGCAAGAGGTGTACGGCGAGGCCGAGGAATGGGAATAAGTCAAAGTCGAACAACCAGCAACGTGCCTCGACGAGTACGTCTCACTCGACATCGACAACACACTCGACGACGCGATCGACACCCCCTCCGCAAGTGAGCTCATCACCGCCTCCGCCTCCAGCAGTTGCAACGCTCGCTCCTGCTCCTCCGCCGCCGCCTCCTCCACCACCGCAAACAACACCACCGCCGCCGCCACCACCACCAGCTGTTTTGACCACTAGTTCAGCGAGTACGACGAGCTCCTCATTACCTCCTCCTCCCCCTCCTCCTCCCCCTCCCCCTCCTCCAGTAGTGAACACCCCATCTTCAAATCCACTGCCTCTACAGCAGACACAAGCGCCGCCTGCTCCAGTCGTATCGAGTCCTCCTCCACCTCCGCCGCCGCCGCCGGTTCCAGCAGTATCAACGTCTTCTTCTTCTCAGCCTCCAATCGTTGACGCTGAACCGCCGGCGACGATTCCTACTTTCCAAAACATTCCCGCTATTCCTGCGCAGAG